TTGTACTTACATTAATTGAGAAAATAAAAAAGAGCCTTACAAGACGGAAAGATACCTGCAAATATTAGCTTTTTGGGTGGTTTGCTGCTGCTGAAATGTCAGCTCAGGAGATCTCTTCCTGTTTTGTTTTTGCTGCAACAGTCAAATTATAAGAACATGGATTATACATCATTTCCTGATCTGGAATCTAACACCATCACAAACGCAGACAAGGCAAAACAAGAATGAAAACAAAAAAATTGAATACTGGGAAAACAAACAAATAACAAAATCTTGTCACATATACATACCAAGTCTTAAAAATAGCAGAAAACATATATAATTACTTAACATATTTGTCTTTTTTTTTTTTTTTAAGGGGGAAAGATCAGGACTTCACTATCTAAAAGGCATCTGTCTCAGTTCCTGTGAAAGCTAGGAAGGGAATTCAAATACCTTCTAAAACAAAAAAAACAAACAACCTTACCACAAGGAGATTAGAAAAGATATGTAGATTTCTGTAAGAAACAAGACTCATCTAATCACAGTATTTTAGAGCATATAATGAATGCAAGGTAATTTCCTGTCTAAAAATAGCAGCTTATTTGCATTGAAGCAGATGTAGATTCCTTTTTTCTTGAGGGTGACGTTACTGGATCAAATTAAATGGCAGCCTGCTGGTTTTCTTCTCCTGCAGTTCTCTTACGAGTTAGTGAGAAATGGCATTATATATCCTTACTTTCTAACACTGTTACATTTTCTTTATGAGGCATAACTGGATTATGCCTTTTTATACAATGTCTCAAAAGATGAGATTATTTGAAGGCTTCTTAAGTAATCCAGTATTCATATTCTGAAGATGCACTTCTCCCAGGGTGATTATTTTCACTAAAAGAAAGATTATTTTACCCTATTAGGGATTAAAATGAATTGTAAAAAAAAAAACAAAAACAAAAAAACAGTAAAGCAGAAGACCAGTGTTCTCAGAATTAACATAATGCACTGGTAAATGTACATACAGTTTTACCTGAACTCTGACTGAAGAACGTTCTTTTTTGTGTGATAAGGGATAACATTAAAGGTAAAGGAAAAAGGTATCCCCACAAACTATTGAATACGTCAGTACACAAAACAAAGTACACCCCACTCAGGTCTCTGAAGGTTTCTTCCTAATGCCTCCCCCACTGCCCCTCCTCTCTGTGTTACTAAGTTTAGGTCATAGAAACCCCTTCTTTGCAAATACATGTGATTCAGATCTATAGGTTCCTGTGGTTGCAACTGAAGATAGTTACCGAAAAAAAAAAAAAAAAAAAAAAAAAAAAGCAAGACAAGGAGACAAAACTTACGTCCCAAGAGGCAGCTCATGAAATTCTCCCAGGGACAGAGAGGCTGCAGACTCATGGCCCTGCTGAATTTGCAAGAGCCCAGAATAGCAGGAATTGGCCACATCTGCGTGAGACCACCAGCAGACATTCACATAACCCTTACCATATCCACTAAGGCATTAGCTGCTACATACAAAGGTTACACTGAGGTGGTTCTTGCTCATACCTATCTCTAACTATTCAGAAAGGCACAAATGTTCCTAACCATAACAATTCATCCCAAAATCTGCCTGGCATAATCACAATCCCTTGATTTTTATAATTTATAGATTGATCAACCTATAGTTATAAATATACCTTACTCTGATGCTTACTCTGATGGTATATTATATGTACAGATTACTGGAGTTTCAGCTCAGCTTGATGATGTATTAATGCAATATGCTCTAACTTATTCTGATAATGTATAGTCACCATATATATTGTATGAGTGAAGTTCTTCAATGACATAACTGTAACAAGGGCACCTACTGAGGAGAATACTAGCAGAAAGTAGATTGTGTTGACACATTACATAGGAGTGCAATTGTAGCATTAACAAGATGAATTGCATAAGCTGATTTAAGAAGCTATATGGCGATGGAAAGTGCAGCAATGACAGCAGAGTAGCAAAGTCCCTGGCTGCAGCAAGTGAGTGCTTGCTCAAAGGAAACAGCCACAGGCACAGAAATAATGGAAAAAATCTGCTTACCTTAGGAAGGCTTCAGGTATGCAGGGAAGTCCAGTGAGATACCCTCACCTCTACCTGCCAACCCTTAAATGAGGTCCAGTCACTCAAGAGCACTGCATGCACCTGAGCTCCCCAGGGTTGGCCCTGCCTTCCCACCAGGTGCTCAGTAACCGGTTCAAACCATGAATTAGCTCTTCTGCTACAGAAGCCTAGTTAGTACAAAAGGGAGCAAGACAAGCTGTATAAGCTGTTAATAGTATTTTCATTCATTGTTCAGAAGCAAGACCTGATATGATTGAAGATGCCCATCAACCCACTGATACCTCCATTAAAACTATCAGAAATCCAATTGCTTGCATGGTCTTGAGCAAGAGTAAAATCTGAAAATCAGTTTGAGCCCTGACTTGTGATACACTTGACCTTCTCTTTTAAAAATAAGAGTAGTTGATAAACTCTATTATTGATACAAAGAACTATAAACACCAAGATATTTTCTGAGCATTAAGCAGAAGAAAGGCAAGCATGATTCATCATCTGGCAGGTGGATCATCACTAACACATTTGAAAAAACCATAACATCATTAAAAAAGCAGAAATTGAAGACGACAGAGTACTACAGCATTAATAGATGTGTGGATCAGATCACAACTATTCGGCCTCTAAAGGTGTGCTGAACTCATAGGGGAGAGCTGAACTTAGATAAAGATGTCAATTTTTTTGTTTCACTTCAGTTCTACAGAAGATAACTTCTTTTGGTATTCCAAAAAGCTCCCAGCAAGTATGACAAAGGAAGGTATCAAAAGCAACTTTATACAGAAGAAAACCAAAAAGGAATTTACATTTAAGGTTGTAAAAATTATAAGTTACAAATGATCTAGATTCACTCTCTACAGCATTAGCACAGATGTAAATGATTCAGAAAAATCAGTTACAGTACTTAAAAACCTCCAGCCAAATACAAAATTACACATTTCCAAAAGTACTTGTACACCAAGTTCCTCTTCACTCAAAAAAGTACAAAAACTGGATAACTCAATATACTTTGTTAGCCCCTGAAAAGTCTAATAAAGGTCTTACAGTAAAAAAAGCGATTAAGCAATACCACATCTCAACTGAGGAACACATTAGTACATACAATAAATACATAATTTTGATGGTAGCACAGCACTGCAAGACGTTTTTGGACAAAGTATTAAGGTACACTAGCTTTCAGATAATACATTACTAATTCAGCATGATTACATTTCCCTCCAAAGCAGAAAAGTGCAAAAATGCCAAATAACAGCCATTTTATTTTCAGAGAAAAAGCATGATTGACTCCCATCACTGTAGCCCATTCATAGAAAATAATTCTAAAAGCCTGAACTGTTCTCAAAGACCAACATTCTCAAGATGCTGCACACTTTCCCTCACAAGTGAAGATGATAGGTATGAATATCTGGCTTCCAAGCTTTGATATAAAAGAAAATATTTATGTTTCAGATCCTAATTTTCTTAGCACTATTTTAAGATGTGCTAAGCCCAGGTCTCCTGGAATCTAGTGTTAAAGAATAAATATTTTCTGTTAGTTTTCACTGGCTCTAACAAGCAGACTAAAGCTAAGTGGTTAAAGAATATCTATGGGGAAAAAGCAGAAGGAAGTAGCTGATTGGAAATGCCATTTTTCAGCCTCGCAGAGCTCCGTTGTTTGTAATGCTCCCCTCATTCTATAAGTAAAAGTGCAGGAAATAATCCACAAGAAGGGCTAAGATGTAAATCTGTTCCCCATTCTTTTAACAAACCACATCCTAGTAAAAGTCACAAAGGAATACGAAATACTGATGTATAACAAACACCTACGTTCTTTAAAATAGTTCTGAAAGTAGCACAGTTAAGTCCAGGCCAGAATACAACATACATTTCTAGAGAAATTATACCTCAGAATGAGGCAGAACGGTAAGCCAATCAAATATGTGATGAGAAAGCAGCAGAGCACAATCTTCTAAAAATCAGTGATGTGGGTGAAACCCTTCTGCATTTATCAGTGGGAGTTCTGTTATATATCTAAGTTTCTGTTACAAATCTAAGTAACTCTCATGTATATGTATACATACATATATACATACATATACATATATACATACATATACAGAGTCACTTAGATTTACACAACACTTGTGAAGGAGGTAGACATGTGCACGAATTTAGTCAGATGCTTTCTATCTTTGCCTCATTTTTCACTTTGTATGTGTGAAACTTGAACCTCATCTAGTCCTATGCCTGTAATACTCTTACGCTCTACTTTTACTTGTAAGTTGTGCAACACTCCACAGCCTCAAAGGATAACTTACATTTCATTTACTAAATGCTATGCTTCTAGTTTGCTATGAATAATACTCAGACTGAGTTGAGCAAACATAACTTCTAGCAACACAACATGAACTTGCTTCAGAGTTGAAGACCATCATCACTGCTACTTCAAGACCAGATTTTTCAATAGACTACAAAAAAAAAATGAAGGATTTATAAAATACTTGACAATGCTGTTTGATATCTCTTTCCCCTACATAAACAAGCACAAAAGTTTTTGTTTTTTTTTTTTTTTTGTCTGCTTTTTAAATGAAGTTGGTATTTCAATCAGTGAAAGGCATAAAAAACACCTTCCAGCTGCTGTAGCCCTACTGGGTCATAATGCAGAGAACAATATTAAGAAAAAATAAAAATAGGTACCCGTATCATCTAACTTATTCCCAACTGCCCTTACTCCTAACTTTAGGCACCTAAGTTGAAGGCATAAAAGGAAAAGATGCAGTGTCCTAACATGTTTATACTGTTCCCTGTTTTTTCCCCACCGGTTTTTAGTATCTTCACATCGTATCAAGTTCTATTTCAGTGCTGTTTTCTTTGGTTGTTCATCGCTTTTTTCCCCCAAACTTTTGCATTTAATTATTTCTTATAAGCTTATTTAATAGAAAATTCCTTTTTTTTATTAACACAAAAAAACTATATTTTAAACTCTGTCTTAAATTTCTTTTTTTTCCTTGGGAAATTCTAGGCACTTAATATCATACAATGAAGTTATTATTTTCATACCATTTACTAACCAATACTGCAGTATGTATTAGCATTCAGTAATATGTTACCTTCACTTCACGGAAAGAAAAAAACATTTCCCTGAATTCTTGATAGCAGTATTTTATACCCACTCTATCACCCTATCAGGTGAGAGCTCCCCTGAAAGTGCAGGCGGTGACTGGAGTTTATATGCATGTTTTGGAACTCCCTTCTGTTTCCAAGAAAGTTCTGCTTCACCTGTTTCAACTCGTCTTCCTTCAGTCTCAGTAGTTTCTTTACAAGCAACCTGAGATCTCGGTTTTAGCTGTCCTTGTTCAAGTTCAAAACTCAAAATAAGTGAATCAACAAGAGAGTCCAATTCATCTAAGTTCATAAACGGCATTGTTGTTTTCTGGAAAGGATTGTTTGCAGAAGCAGAAGACAATGCAAGTAAACTGAAATAATTGTTAAAATATCCAGCTATGATAGAAATCTCTCCCGCAAAGCTCCTGAGCTGGCTCGTGTTTCTGAACGACCCTGTGAGAAACAAAAACAGAATGAAAGGTAGTATTCCACAAGAAGAGACCAAGCAGCCTTCCTTCTCCTTACTATACAGATCGCCTTTAGTCTACAAGTTATTAGCTAGGTAGGTAATAATTCAGGTAAATACCTTGTAAGGTAGAAGAAACAATCTGATGCACTTCAGATAGACACCGCTCCAGTTCCACATATTTCGCAGCGATGTTAGTGCTTCTCTTTATTTCCTGAGATAGCCATTCTTCTGCTAAGTGAGACTGTATTCTTTCCTGTATTAACAAACAGTAATTTAAAGAGACCCAAATACACGACAGCAATCCTTAATAGTTAACACACTGTTCCAGACTTAGTCACACAAAAGTAGACCATTGAAACACTGAATAAAAGGGATGTTAGATTATTGAAAAGCTCTGGGAAGAAGTCTTGACAGGAGGGAAAACAAACAAGGTAACTAAAATCGCAAGAAAGGCTTGGTTCTCAGAAGGTAGATTAAGTTCTCTCCCCTAGCTTTTAATTCAAATAACCAGCAACAACAGCAATTAATTATTGCAGTAGTTACCCAGTTTCACTAAAATTTCTGAACTTCAGGCCATTAATGAACAAAGACAGAAGAATATATAAATAACCCTAGAAACAGTAAATAAAATCAAGCACTTTTAAGTGGAAATGCAGTGGCCAGAAAAGCTGCGGTGTTCTAAACACAAGAATGCCCTTAAGGGAAGAAGTGGAATATGAAAGTTTATGAAAGTTATGTAAGTATATGAAAAGTTATCTCACTTTTTTTGTTTGTTTGTTAAATGCACCTTTTTAGTTTAAAATCCAATTTCAAAGCACAAATCTGGTGAAATATTTTACTTACCTTTCTGCAATGAGAGACATTACTTTCAAGGAATCTGGCTAAAGCCAAAGCATTGTCCTTAATTTGACTTTGAATCTACAAAGGAATATTACATAGTACATTTGAGTCAAGGCACAGGAGAAGTACAACAATATTTCAGAAGCAGAACAAAGAGCACACCAATATGGATAATACTTAAAAGCAAAAGCAATTTTTTGCAACATAAGATGGAATTTTTAAAAATAAAATGGTTTACGTTGTTCTCCACCAGTTAACATATCTGCAAAATTTCATGTAAGTCCTTAATATAGGAGAACCAAATGAGCAAACTTAAGTGTCCATTAAAGAAAGGTTCTCCTATAATTATTATGCCACTGCCATTTTAAGCAGTGGTATAAGCTCAAACTCTTGTGTTCTCTCTCTGACTTCACAGTAGCTGGAGACATCAGTTAAAACATTATTTAACCACAAAGCATAGACAAGGCTCCTGCCAGTAAAAAATAACCTGCAGCAAGTGTGATTTGGAACGCAGTTTGTACAACTCCTTTTGCTAGAAACATGAAAAAAATTTCTGCAAGACTTCCATCTCTCTTATCTCATACTTCTGCTACTCACTGTAAATTTATTCCACACAAACTTTCCAGAAAGAACTACAGAAGAATAAAGCAATATGGTAAAGCATCTCTAAAAACACACCAGTAATTTCTAATTTTAATATTATCTCACCTCATTTTGTGGATATTGTTTCACTAGTTCTTTCTGCATCATTCTTGCTTTTTCTTGTACAGTGTTTGTAAGCAACTCCAACCCCGAGCCTACTCCATCGTAAACAGCGTGTATAAAGTCCTTGTAAAGCAGAGAGTCAAAACATGATTAAAGGAACTCATATGGCCACGTGTAACACTGTAACACAAAGGAAAATGCAGCAATGACAGCAGAGTAGCAAAGTTCCTGGCTGCAGCAAGTGAGTACTTCCTCAAACTAAACAGCCATAGGCGCAGAAACTAAGGGGAAATTTGCTTACCCTTGAAAGGCCTCAGATATGAAGGGATCTCCAGCAAGATACCCTTGCCTCCACTGCCAACCCTGAAATGCAGTTAGCATTTCCACTACACCTTGGAAACAAAATGGACTTTCCATAATGGACTAGAAATACACTTGTTTTTGTTTTTGTTTTCTACGCAATTGTTCATTGCTGGCCTATTTGGCCAAGTGTGATTCTCGAACAACAGAGGCTCCTTTTAATTTTATTCAGATTTCTGAAAATTCAGTGTGTTATCAACAGAGACTCTTGATAAAAATATTGAACTTGTTGAAATGTGCCTACTTGTATGAACTCAGTGCAGATGCAATCCTGAAAGTATACCATTCTTATTTGTGCATGAAAGTTGTACACACTTAAAAGTTCAGAACTTCTTGATTGTGTGATTTGGACATGTTTGGTAGTTTTGAATTTTATTTTTTCTCTTCCAGTACTACAAGTATGAACATATACTCATCTTCATAAAAATAAAGTATTAGATGAACTCAAAACTTTATTCCATTTCTTAAATTGTTTAATGTAACCATCAGACTTACAATCACAACTACTCAAAACAACTGTGAACGTCAACACTAAAATTACTTCATAATTAGGTCCTACTTTTTAAGATACATAAGAGTAAAGAAAACAAGAACTCCTCAAAAGATATTGTTTGGGACAAGCCTTCGTGCTCAAGTATTTCTCGTACTTACCTAGAAAGTCATTATTACTATTAAACTTTTTCACCTGTAAACTGACTGTAGAAATAGTGTTCTCTTCAAAAAAGGAAATATCAGTTCTTGTGAATACAGCCAGGTGTCCTATGCATTTCATCGTCTGTTTTACTGCTTCGTTGACTTTGCTCTGTGCTTCTGTTACCATTGAGGATATATCTGAAGAACATCCCTTAGAAATAAAAGCATGTCATTCATTGAAACTAGAAAGTATATATGTTCAAAGAGCACACACTTTGTGTAGTGCAAGTTTGTAATGCCAAATAGCTCATTGCATTTTCAGCTTCATATTTTCCCACTTGCACCTGTTTCTCTACTGCAGATAGAAGCCAATATCTCATAACCTTAAAGAGACATGATAATATTATACTAAACACTTTTAATAGAATTAGCCTTCAGGCAGCTTGTAATGCTGTATCATGATGAAAAGCACAGCAGTGACAGCTAGACATTAGGCTGTTTTTAGCATATATAGTTAACATTACTTTAATACACAGGATTTCTCTACACAGCAGCTGAGCCACATTCTCTTTTTTCCCAAGACACATACTTTACCTGCAACAGTAACTGTAAATAACCTCCCAAGTTCTTTACTTCCTGTTTTATTTCTTCATTAGTCTTCATAGATCCAATGCACTTCTGCACATTGTTAAGCCAAGTCTTGATCAGTACCACAAGCTGGTCAAAAGCAGAGGTAATTTTGATGCCGTACAAATGAGCATCATGGTCAAGAGAGATAACTACAAAAGAAATAGGAGATTTTCAGAATGTCTCCTCAACAAATGGAAGTAGGAATGTTTATTCTTCCCATCACCTCACATATGGTTGCACATCTGAAAGGCAATTCACCGGTAACGTTTATCTTAAAGGTTATGAAAGCCAGACTTACAATTTTTTTGACAGTCTTCATCTTGCTGCTCATAGGCTTTAGAAATGGCAGAAACTCCTGAAGAAATTGTAAGCAAATTACTCAGGAGATGATCAGCAATGCTCTTTCCTCCTTCATGATTCTGTTCCAGTAAATCTAAAGCTGAACTTATAGCTTCTTTGCAAATTCCCGGAAGAAGAGAATCAAAAAAGTTCGGACATATGCTGGATTTATTCTGTGCACCTGTACGGTATAAATTAAAATACATAGGCATGAAACTCCACAGAAATAAGCAGACAGAAAATCTAACCATTGTGCATTGTTTCTTTAGAAATGTTTAACTGCCAGACATGCAAGTTTAAAAAAAAAAGTGTATACACAATTCTGCACAATTTTTAGGATTAGTCAGTACAGATTTCATAGTGAAATTCTGTAACGTAAATCCAACATTTCCAACAATGGAAAACATAGACAGAAAACGAAGAAAACAAGCCAACCTACAATAACTACATAAGCACATTTGGAAGACTGAAGCATCTGGGGAAAAACAAGATTTATAAAACCTGACAAAGAGCCAGGGCAAACCTTAGCAGCTAAACGAATAGCAAAGATCCAAGCACATTCTCCAAACAACTGTACCAGCATTCAGCCACTGGCAGTTTGTTTCTTGAACTATCATCATTCTCCCGTAAACCTCCAGTTAAGCGTAGTAACATTGCAAGTAAAACTCTCATTAAGAAAAACAAAAAAAAACAACCCAAAAAAGCAGTTTCAAGTGGTGGTTAGAAGCTTTTATCCTAAGAAAGCATAACTATAGAAACAAAGAAAAAGATCCACTGTTAACAGATTAGCATTCTGAGCATAGATACATTACGATCGGGACACTTTCCATTTTGTCCCCCATGATTATTGCAAGTTCATGCATTATACTAAGTAGTATTTCCAAGTTCTCAGTATAAAGTGAACAGTGATCTGCCATACAAATACCTGATATATAGGATGCTCGTGTGTTCTGCATTGGCTGCAACTTTATACCAGACAAACATCCAGAAATTCTCTTGTTCTTCATGAAACTCCTACTTCTGGAAAGGATGAGTGTCAATATATTAAGAACTTAAAGTATCTCACTCCAAGTTCTTACTGAAGGATCAGTGAATGTTAATATCCACCAGGCAATTGTGTGTATATATATATTTACATATACACACACTTTCAATTCGTTGAACTCGTTAACACAGAACCCGAGATAGCCTGTCCTTCTTGCTCCCTTGCACTACACAAACACCAACACCAAATCTTAGCTTAACACATGGAATTCTATTTCATTCACCAGTATGCATGACTGACACAAGCCAGCTGCTGACAATGCAGCAAGGAAGCCAGTTTCTCTTTGTTTTCTCATTTGGTTGTTTCTAGAGGCAGAATGAGGACAAGTACACTTCTGAGGTTCAAGAATACACACCTACAACATTAGGATACTATCCAGAAGCTTCAGACAAGGCAAAGTGTTCCAACATTATTTAATATTTAGACTAAAAAAAAACCGTTTATTCATTGTGTTCTTTTCAGACTTGTTTACTTGGAATGATCACCATTTTACCATCAGCTGAAGCGACCTGCTTTACAGCAAAATAACAATAATCAGCTGCAACCCACTTGCAGAGCTGTAAGGAAGCATCAGTTAGCATTCGTATTACAACCAACAATTTGCACAATTCTAGAATCACAAACACTGTTACAAGACTGAAACTTCAAACACAAGGTTTTCAGATCAGCTGCAATTCATTTTTAAAAAATATTGCTGTTGTATTAAAGAGCCATGAGTAAAACCTGAACAACAATATATTTTGCTCCGTACCGATACCTAAAAACTTGATTCGCAAAGCCTCACACACGTTTTGGCCAAATGCACTTTTGGGTCTGGGGGAGCCTCTTTTCCCTTTATTTCTTGTCCATTTTGGAAAAATAAGATAATGGGCAAATAGAAGATCTCACTAACATGGTGTATGGGAAAAGTAAGGATGGTAACAGCAATTTAAGTGCCTATTCACGACAGCTTGTGCGACTAATTGAACACGCATTGTACCTTACATCAGGTTCTCCGCAGGTTAATCAAAAATCCTATGCTAGAGGTAAATTGATCAGTTTCTGGAGATGGCTCTGAGAAGTTAATTAAGAACAGCTTTTATCATCAGCTGATCGTCAACCGTTACACACAAAGCCTGCTGGCACTGATTACTCATCCATTGCTTTGCACAAGCTCAGAAATACTACTGTTTCATCTTCCAAACTGCTTCAGTGAGAATGCAATTCTTATTATTACATTGACAACACATTGCATATTAAAACACATTTCGCAAGGGAACACAGTAAAACACAGTAAGATTTCACACTTAGTATTAACCTCCCCATTCCTCACATACGTTTTCTTTTACATTAATTTGGTTTTAATTTAATTTTTCATCTAATTTGTAGGTTTGGCATTATGATAATCTAAACCAAAAAAATATAAATAAAAGATTGAGTGGCACAGAAGTATAATTATGCAAAGTAACTTCTGATTTGCATTGAACAGTGGTGAAGGAATTCCAAATGATCACCTTCTTCCGGAAAGAGAAGAAACTGAGGCATCTGAAAGGTCAGGTTCCCACTCATCAGCAGGGTCATAAAATACATCAGCAGCTTTATTGCTATCATTACTCTGGGAAATATAGGAAACAGAGGAGAAGGAAGGTTAAGTAGAAACTGAGAGATAATAAAGCACACAATACCAGGATGAAGACATCATGCTCTGCTGTACAGCAGTAGATTTAATCACAGAACCACAGAATTGTAGGGGCTGGAAGGAACCTCCAGAGATCATTGAGTCCAATCCCCCTTAATGTTTTACTTTTTGTTAGGAAATGTGTAATTTAAAAAAATAACTAACTGACATTTAGGTTGAGATGCAAATTTTTAAAATGCAAAATGAAACAAGAGACATATAGTGAAGACACTCTGCTGTTCAGCATCTTCAGATACAGGATACAGGAATACCAAGTAAAAATCTTCCCAGCTCTCTCCATATGACAACATCTATTCAAATTCCGCGTATGTAATTCACACAAAAGCAGATATAAAAATAAATAAATTTGTAGTGGTTTTAGCCATATTTTTGCATTTGACACAATCTCTGCTTTTGTCAAGAGTCAAACAGATTTTAGTAATAAACACAGTATACTTCTAGCACTGGAAATTTTTGCATCTCTCAGAACTACATTGTAAAGGAATGTTTTCTCTTCCATTGTTTTCTGGTTTTGCTTTGTTATTTATTTTTTCCCTTTTGATCAAGGCAGGGAAAGAATTTAAATTTCTGATATACATATATCAAAAACCAAACATACATATACAACAAATTAGATAATATACACACACACATATAGGTATATATTGAGGGTTTTGTTGTGGTTTTTTTTTTTTTTTTTAAAACCAAAAAAAAAAAAAAAAAAAAAAACCACAAACCCAAGACTCTCCTTATATGATTACTGCAATATCTTCAACAAAATGTTACTGCTCATTAGTTAGTGGATTTGCCTAAGTTCTTACTGACCTCATAGAGTTCTTTCATAGCTGCTAGTTTGCATTCAAATTTCTCCAGGCTCCAGAAAGTTGCTATGCGCAGTTTGATGTTACGAACCTGTACTTGGACAGAAGACACCAATCCTGTTTTATCATCAATTTTGTCATGCCTGAGAATTTGAGGAAATAAGAAAAAAAAAAAAGTAAATATGAAGTACCTGTAGGTAGATCATACAGAGACGAAACATTTGATTACAAGCCCAGTAATAGTTTAGGACACCATGTTTCTTATAAAATACAAATATTAGTTTCCATTTTAAATACATTTATATTTAAAAGAGAAAAAAAAAAATCCTTGCAGTCATAACCCCATACTAATTCCTAGGTCTCAAGAAACTCGAAACCAAATATGTGCTATAAATTTCTGTTGCCAGAAACATCTGAAAGCCACAGTAAAACACCCACTCATCCCTACTATTGTAGCCATGTTTACTGCAGAGATTCTCCTGCACTGTATCTGCACTCCTGCTAAGGATATCTGGCCATTATATAGAAACAACTGGTCTCAAGTGCTCAATATCCAGTGCATGCATGCCCTCAGGTTTTCACTTCAAACTACCCCTATTGGGTTAAGTTTATAGGGCTACATCATAGTGGCTGACACATACGTCCTGGTTCAATTTTGCCCAAAATTAGAATAATTTCCATTGAAAAAACATCTCCAAGATCAGAAGTTTCATCAAAATGAGTGATGTATTTCATATGCCTTCGGACCTCTCTGATACGTGAGCTGACACACGATGGACGTAGGCATCATTCACCCCCAAAGCATGCTTGATCCAAGATGAACTGCCTAACGTAAACGTAACTTGATTTCAAAGTAACACAACTAAGTTACACATTCCTCCAGAGCTAGGTGGGAAAAGTGATCTGTCATCTTCAGAAATCTGTTCAAAGAACATCAAATAGCTGATTGCACTTCTAGAATCCCCACCACATGCACTTATAACCAGGTCACTCAGACACTTACCTGTTAAAAACAGTGTTTTTCCCTAATTCACTACTAATGGTGTTGGCCTCTTTGATCATCACAGATAACTTCAAAGAATTCCAGCTAAGAGGAGCTAATGAAGAATAAAATGTTTAATAACATACATAATGATCAAGTAGTGTAATGCAACAACTTAAAGGTTTAAAACACAAAACAAAACCACACATGGCATCTTGTGTGGAATTTAACCATTTAGCTGCTCTGCATTTTCTCAGTAAGGAGGGGAGAGGAAAAAAAAATAAACTTCCCAGATAGACAACACTTGGAAAAAATAAAAGAAAAATCAACCAAGAGAAGGGTATGTAAAAAATAACAACTTCACATCACATACTATAGAGTAAGCTAATCTGATACAGGAGACTAAACAGAAGCAATTGTTACTCCAGTTTCTCCAGTGGATTAACTCCTAACTAGTTCAGCCAGACTGAGAAAGAAATCTTAAGTAATTAGGGTAAATATAGACTAGCTGGGAACCCACCAAACCACCCTGAGATTTTAGCACTGTCTCGGAGCCATTGTTTCAGAAAAGTAAAGGATGGTAGCAGCCATAAGACTCTTAATTTTCATGTTTGTTAAAAAAGCATTGGAGGAAGAAAATCAGTTCAGGATCCACACTCATTAAATCCAAGTCAACTGTGCAAAAGAGAAATTACTGCTCCTGCAACATTAAGTACATACTTACTATTCACAGTTCTATTCCCACTTGCACGATTCTTCTGAAGGTTTTGAATTTCTTCAGCAATCTTCTGTTTCTCATCTTCTAGAGCTTTAAGTATTTTTGCATGATGAATAGTATGATCTTCCAAAGCCTAAGGAAGAGAGAAAAAAAAGATGGTATGAATCTCAAGAGTGCTTACTTATGTTTATACTTAGTTTTTCTGCTGTTACTTTAAGGACTTCTGCAACAGAATCAAATGCATCTTCCACATCTGCCATCAGTATGTAACCCTTCATCTTCCATCTTTGGCAGGTTTCTTGTTTTGGTTAGATACTGAAACGTTTAAAAGAAATACAGAAATAAAAGAGAAGTAGCATAAAAAACAAGCAATGAAATAGTAGTTGTTGCAGAAATCAGACACATGAACACCAGTGTAAAAAAGACTAATACTACATTTATTCTTAAGAGACCTTACTCTCTTGTTTTATAAATACCTGCTTAGTAGCTAGGGTCTCCATTTCCAAGCGCTTCTTGTTGAAGTGTAGTTCTAGCTCAAGATTTTGCTTTGCCTTCTCTAATTCCTGTATTTTACTTGCAGCCTTTTGATTGTTCAGTTCTTGCACTTCCTTCTTACGAGATTCTTCCCTCTAACATAATCAAGGACAGACAGAAAGAGGTATGCCACTGCTAAAGTATTTCTGATCCGCTCCCTAAGCGGATATTAAGGTTTATTTTCACTTCAATACATTGAGAACAAGCAGCCCCTATTGAGAACAACACATACTAGAATAATACAACTTAGAAGACATACAGAATAAAATTTTGTATCTATGTTAGTTCATATACGAGTTACACTTCCATCAAATTTACACAGGATTATTTTGTTTCATGACTAATTACACATATTATTACACAATTATAATTGATAATTATATAATTATAATGCATTAAAAATTATATACAGCAAAATTTCTAGGATAATTCTGAAGAGAATACCTACTTAACTTCTTGAGTTAATAATCGTGACTTCATTTTTGTATTTATTTTCTAAATGAAGAACAAGGGTCAGCACTCCCTAAGATATAGTTACAGTATGCAAGACAAGAAGAGAAAAAAAACAACAAAAAAACCCATAATATAACACACAACAAATACCTCCTGGCATACTAATGTTTTTGTTTTACTACCTTCTGATTTACTGTTTTATTGGTAAGTTTTCTATAAAAATGCAGTGGCAACTCACCACCTCTGCTTCCAGTGACTTTATTTTGCTTTCATAAGCTTCTTTTTGTGATGTCAGTTCTTGTTGAACCATTTCTTTTGCGATTTGGACACTTTGCATCATTTCTTCCTTGGCTTTGAGTCGTGCCTCTTCAATTTCTGATTCAAGCCTAAAAGTACACATTTAGAATGCTGGCTTTAATCTCTTACAGGCTGCATAGAGGTTAATCTTACCCACTTGTATTGTGACAGAAGGAATAATGCTAAATAGTCTCCAGTGTTAACAGTTAAGAAGTATTTTACAACTTCCATATTTTACCTAGGTATTTCTCATTTCGTAGAGAAAATAGACACAGGTGGAAAGGGAAAAAGTATTTTACATTCTTCTTAACTTCCAGTTTTACTTCATTACATCTCTTTCACAAAATTAAGAACTGTAACAGAAACTCACAAAATCATATTAAGATGCAGAAAAGTATATTTTAAGTCAATGCAACTTGCAGTTTAATAATTCCCAAGAAAGAAGCAAGTAAGAATAACGTAGCCTTTTCTCAAATTCTCCAGCACCACATTTGACCCAAGTTGTAACATCGATCTCATTTTTGTAGAATATGTTTTTCAGCTTGTCTGAAATCTCACAAGCAGGTTTCTGACATTATATATTTGGGGATACAGTGCAACTGAAGAGATACACTAATTTGGGGATCTCTGTAGTTTAACCTTTTCTACAGTAGTGGCCAGCATCCTCGGCAAGTGGACTAAATTGTGGTATCACCTCTTAAAAGTAAACAGTAAACTTCAGATATGTCTGGAAGTTGTGTTCCCATTACAAAATGAGTTAATAATAAACATTCCATTTTCCAGTTTTCACATAGACCAGAATAATGAGTGGTCATAAGTTTCTTACCACTTCAAGCTACTTGAGAGTTGCAGTAACAACCGTGACTTAGTAAAAGGAAATAAAAGGAGGTACGCACTGTGCTCTCTGTGCAACAAGCAGCTCATTCTTCGCAAATTCAAAGTCTTTCGGACCATCGTGCAAAAGTGTAGTTCCACAGGATGGCCCTTTAATCTTCTGAACCTCTACTGGATGATTAAATCTGAAGTAATGATCTCCACCAAGGATCACTCGATCACCCTACAGGGGAGGAGAAAAAAAATTTATAATAACTTTTAGATTTACGGGCTTGAAACAGAGACGATAGGAGTAGAAATTGAGAAGAATTTAATTGTATCAGAGCCCTCTAAGAAAAACTGTACTCTGAAATTGGAATAAGAATACAGCTACAAAATCCACAGGTGCATACATTCCTCTGTTATGAAGTCAGCTACTCACATGATGCAGAACTGTTGGGTTTACAATGCAGTTCCCATTTATGTATGTCTTAGCTTCTCTCAGTGGAATAATACTCACATGGCCGGCAGTATTTTTTATAACACTGAAAACAACAAACATTTGTTACATCAGTAGCTTATGTTAATTGCAATAGACTAAAAATCAATACTTTATACAGTGTCTTATTTTCCTTTTTCTGGATGCAAATTGTCTTTGTATTGTTTAGTTACAACATTACACAAACATTACACAGTGAGAATTGTAAAGGCATTTCACTAAGTATTAAGTTCAATGGGAAAGAATTATCATACTCAGAATCATTAGATCAGGATCTTGTGCAAGATTTTTACACGAATAGAATAGATTTCAATACATTAATAAAACATACAACAAAATTGAACTGCTTAGCTTAATACCTTACTAAGGAGAAATAGAAGCAAGCTTCCTTAATCAGTGAACACCGGAAAAATTATCTTCTGTAGTTAGAAAGCCATATTTTGCTACTGCCAGAAGGAAGAGCAACTCCAAAAGCAAAGCCAAGATCAAAAGTACTTCCTAATTTGGCATAGATAATAAAAGAAAAAAAAACCTCAAAGAATACTACATACCAATGATCATCAGCAATTAGTACGCCAGAAAGCTGGATGTCATGTTTTGAATTTGCTGTATACCTTCCAACTGTAGTTTCTCCTTCTTTAATCATATACAGCAGCACTTCAGAAAGCTGGGGATCTTCATTCAGATTGACAAGGTTTGGTAAACGATTGTCCATTTTGAATGCAATTCCTGCTTTCTAGATAAAAGATGTCAGCAAAAAAGATTATTTTATCTATCCCAATATCTACATCATTCTGTTAATAAAAAAAAACCAGCATTGAGGAAAGCAAATCTTGAAAGTACTCTAATTCTTCTGCAAGGATTGCTGATGTCATCTTTCCTCTATTATTTGCTATGTAAAGTGAAGGGGAAAGTGAAAGAAAAAAAAACATACCTGCAATTCTTTTATATCTTCTAGTTTTCTTTTTTCTGCTTGCTCAAATTTCGCTTTCCAAGCCCTTAACATATTAAGGGAAAATATAACACTGCCTTAAGAACAAGTTTGAAGTATATAGATTTTACTATTTGCTATTTAAACACACGTTATTGACTACCTTACCTTTGCATTTCTGTCATGTCCCTTTCCTGCTGGTGCAATTTTATCCTCAGAGATGTTATTTCTTGCAAATAATGTCTGTATTTTTCAGGATCCCTGTTCTGAGCACTCTTCTGAGCTGCCTTCAGTTTTTCAATTTCAGCTCTCAGCTCTACATTAGGCAAACCAAAACCAAATAACAAAAAACTAGAGATACGATAGAGTTTAGATATTTCAGAACAATACTAGAATATTCATCCCGATATCTTAAAGACAAGCAAAACATCTTTCCCTATTCCAGGTTCTCAATTGTAGCTAAAGAGATTGTTGTACCTTTGTATAACAAAAATTAAAACAACTGAAAACACACAGGAGAAAACCACCCACAACTCACAAAGCAGCATAATGTTAGGAAGAAAAATATATCCTAGTAGCCTAGTTAAGGGTTTATACACAAAAAGCAGAGAGGAAAATTATTTTTAAGATTACAGAGCAGTTGAATAGCATGTATTAAGAAAAGTGAACACAACCAATACTCAAAGGTGAGTGTTACTTTGGGGGCACACCAAACTGCTATTTATAAAAGTATCCCTATTTTAAAGAGTTCACGAAACTGAAAAACTTCCTCAAAGATGATAGTGTCTGACTTTCTAAACAAAATTGATTAGAAAACATTTGAAGAGTAAAGAAATCAGTGGTCAGTCAGCACAATTATTAGTATTCATGTCTCTCAAGGAGCAGTAAATTTAATAGAAATGAAGAAAGGTCTTAAAGACTGCAGATGTCAACCTCACCTCTGATTAACTTGGCATTCACATCTTCATTTACTTTAGCCACGTTGATAATTGAACATGCTTGTTTTGCATAGCGAAGAGTGCTGAGTGTTTCTTCTGTACTGCTGGCAGCTGGACTTATTGTGGCAATCATAGCAGTTTGTGAATTTCCACCAAGGCTTTCTTTTAATAACCTTTATTTGATGGGAAATTAGAAGTACATCATACAAAATACCTGTATCTTGCTACTTTGAGAGTAGTTAGAGTGTGATTGTCAGCTAACTTAGAACACAAAGGTCATATTGCTCTTTACTTGATTCAGAAGGCTAGTTTATTTCTCCTTGTATGCCATTCTGGTGAGCAAGTTTCAGATGTCTAAGCAGAAAGGAAAATTGCTCTGGGTGCAGAAACATACAAATTGCTCTAAGAGCAAGCCACATGTTCAAAGTTTTTTCTTTACCTGAATATTACTTTGGAAATAGCACCATTATGGGGGAATAATTTTTCTGCTATGCCACCGAAGCACATGCCTCAGTTCAAATCATGTAAAACACTTCATAGCAATCCTGTCACAATTAACACTAGCAGCATTACAGAACTCAAGGTTTTGATGCATGACAACATAACAAGAGAGTAATTAAAAAATAGACCATACAAAATGCAAAAGAGATACAGAATTACTTCAGTGGTAAGATGGACTAGGAGCAGCACCAAAGTGAGGATGCAGTCCGATAGACGTACTAACATCTTCTGTAACACACACGGAAGAAGAGAGACAATAAGTGTACTAAGCCCCAAATCAGAGATTGAATAATTATACCTACCCAGCTCCTCCTACCAATCTACTTCCGCACAGAGGGAAAAGGAAGGAATAGCTTCTGAAAGGAGAATTCACAACCCAAGAAAACCTTTTACTGCCACATAAAAAAAAAAGCCTGGAGCATACATACCAAGTAAGGACAGATTCCCGGTAAGGAATGAAAGTTTTCTTCCCATTTCGTGACAGCTTGGAGAGTGCAGAAATGACTTTTCCAAGGGTTAACAGTGATTTATTAATACTCACACCCTCCTACACAAAGCAAAAATAAAAAACCTACAATTGTATTTGCTTGTGTGATGCTGTTGATTTACTCATGCTTATTTAATGCATACTGTATCAAATGTTACCACTGATTAAAAAACAAGATGCAAAAGTACTCTTCTTCTCTTGGAAATAAGAGACCCTGGTCTTTAATAGTCTTAAGAACTATTAACCTAACATAGGCAGGTTGACAAGTTGTCTCTGAATAGGAACTCTATTTATTTAAATTCCAAAAATGGCGAAGTCCCAACTGTGCAAAATCTGATTCACTAATTTGCAAGTCAGCTGCTCATGCTCATTCACTCTTACGCCTGTCAGAGGATCATTAGGCCTGCACAGCAAAGGGAGTGCTCTCCCGGGCGAGATCTGGCCTGCCATACAAATCAGTCAAAACACACTTTAAGGCTGCTTGCCCTCATTGGCAAAATACTGTACAAAAAACTTATAAGCATAAGGGCTACATGTCCTTTTATGACAACTCTTGTCCAAAAGCCTTGGTAGAGGAGGATATTTCAGAGTTAAAGGTTAGAGGCACTCTGTGAAGAAAATCTTTTTCCTCCCCACAGATATCAAGTTGTGATTTACCTTCAGCCTTTCTCCAGTGGTCTGAGCTGTAGAGCAGCATTCACTGCCAGCTAAATCAATTAGATTTACATGGCTGGTAAGCCTGTGATCACGTTGCTCTTCATCCACAAACTTTACCTGGAAAAATTGGAGAACTCTGCTTTTAACTCAGTATAAAATATCTGAGGACAAGCAGAGATTGACCAAGCTTTTCACTTTATAACAAATAAATAAACCAAAAAACATTAACATTACTATTTACTTTTTGACAGGATACTTTCATGTACATCCCATTAAGGAGATTAAGTCCACACAATGAACCATAGCATCAAGAGTTTACATGTGCATAATTGCATAAGCAAGAACTGCACAAAAACAGACATTTAAAACTACAGCTCAGTGCTCATGCTTGACTGTTGCCTCTATCATCTAAACAACCAGGGGGAAGATCTTAGAACTAATCCTGATAGAAGAAAATCTAGTGTTGTGAAGAGTGAGCTGAAGGATAACAGGGCTCAAGTAATTGGGCAGAGGACAATTAAGGACAATTAAAGAACAAAAAGCCACACCCAAGTTACTTGTAAATGAGAAAACTATCAGTCACTAGACTTCTGAGGAGCTCCACTTATTTTATCTCACTAAGTCAGTATTATCTCACTAAGTCAGGTTTTGTCTCTTAAGTACCTGTAAATCAAACAGGAAGTTGTAGTGCCTGTATCCCAGAGATGAAAGGATGACACGGGTGTCCTGAACTACTTAAAACCACTCCTAGATCTGTCAATCTAGGCGTATTTATATGATTTCTATAAATACATACAAGCACAGAGATAACAGAACATACTCAAAGTATGTGGAAAAAAAAAAAAAAAACAACACAACAATTTAACTATGTAGAAACCCATGTTAAAATGCATCCATTCATGTATACTTGCCCCATTTTCTAGGCAGCGCTCAAAACAATTTTCTACTATGTGAGTTGAACAGATAATTCAGAATAAAACACCCAGCAATACCTTGGTTTGTGTCATAACAAGAGTGAGGACAGAATGAGATCTAGAACTTTTGTCATTCATTACTGTAGCAGCTGTTGCTCTCTGCTTATTTCCCAGTTCAAGCCAACTCTGTAGGAGGAAAGAAAAAAAAAAAAAAAAAAAAAAATCAACTTTTTGGTGCACTCTGGGGAGTTAACTGCAGTTTAAAATATTTGCAAATCAAATTATTGACACAGATGATGGATCCATACGGGTGGAATCACAACTTCACTATATTAAGAGCATGATGTTTGTACGTGTCTGCTCAGCTCCAAGGCACAGGACTGGTGCTTGCTGTACTTTTACATCTGCTGAAACGTCAGAGTGCTGAGCAACCTGCAAACCTTTTTCTTCCCTTCCATGGAATTTTGCTTTCAGCAAAGGAATAAGGGAGTAGAAATACAACTGAACAACTCTTACCTGGATATCTGAGTAAGAACTGACAACATTCCTAAAGTGAGAGGAGGGGAAAAAATAAGATTCAGACTCGTCTTTCAACAATTTTACCTATTGTGTGCATTTTGAAATACTTCTTAAGTTAAGGAGAAAATACCAATACATCACAAAAGTTGCAGTTGTCCTGAGACTGCCATTGTTTCTAAGGACTGTAAAATAATTCTAATTGTATTATAGCCAATGGAAATACAGCAAGCCAAGCTAGACTGTGTGAAATTAAGATACTGTCTAATTCTCTGGTGAGCACAAAAACTTAGAATCTCAAGATAATAACACAGTATGCCAGGTCTATGCTGTGCATCTACTAAATCACAAATTGCTTAAGGTTGGAGGGGACCTCTGGAGATCATCTGACCCAACCTCCTGCTCAAGGAGGCCTCAAAGAACAAGCTGCACATCTAAACAGCTTTAGAAGATTGCCAAGGAGTGAGACTCCACAACCTCTTAGGGCAAACAGAGCCAGTGATGTCACTCACACAGTAAAGCAGCACTTTCTGATGTAGGAACTACTTCCGAGAATAGTTAAGACTTACACTGTTAGGTCTTCCACATATGGTCCTAACACTGGATGTTCTCTTACACGAAGCTGGAAAGAACATCAGAGGAAAAAAAAAAAAAAAAAGAAAACAACCTATTAAGTGTGCATTACTTAGAATTATCTTAGAAATAAGAGGCAGTTTCTGTACATGCTTAACACAAAGTCTCATGCTAGATTTTGTTGGTTATCATCATCTACAACAATGTTTTCAGGATAATAGCAACGGCTGAGTGTTTCTACCTGCACAAGAAATCATAGCAGTTGCTCTAGATTATAGCTCACAGAGCTACCTCCAAGAATATTTGGATAAAACTACAAAGTAACTACGATATTAAATTAAAGATTTATATTTAAAAAAACCACCACCAGTGATGCCGCAATATACGTTTTCAACTTAAACAGTTTGGCTCAAAACCACAGACAAAACTCAGCTGAATGTACACCTGCTGTAAACCATACCAGGTAGTCTTTACTTCTACCTGACTAGTTGACAACAATCTGTAGTTTTGGATAAATGACTTATTTCAACAGCAAGTCAAATACACTTTATCTTCTCTCCCAAACTAAAACTCACGGTTTACAAACAAGATTTGGACAGTGCACTGCTCAATACTGCCAAGCACAGAAAGCAGGTGGTTTTTTAGCAGGTGGATTTTTTTGTTGATGTTGTTTACTTTAGTTTTTTAATAAATCTAGCGTGATGAATTCCTTATATTAAAATGAGCTAAGCTAGTTTTCACTAACAATCCTTAACTAGTTACTTAGATTACTGAATGCCCCCATCCACCCCCATTCCAGTTTCTTAAGAAATAAAACAAAAGTAAAACCAAATAACAGCAACAACAAACAAAACAAAGGAACTTCCTGCCAGCCCTGGAACTCTAAGCAGTACATTACCCAGGGCAAAATACCTGCATGAAGTTAGCCATTTTTCCCTAAGCTTTTGCACAATACTTTTCTATACCTGAGCAACATAAACACACAAAAGAAACTAAGTGGATAGGAATTCTCCCTTTGCAAATAATTTTTTTATATAATATATAATATATTAATATATATATATTAATATATTAATATATATAATAATAAACAAATATTTTCAGAAGTGAATGGGCAAGTCAATAGAATCAAGAACTAAGGAGAGTGCTGGCTCAAAAGATGTTTTGAATGGTTTAAAAGCTGTTCTCAATGCTGTATATATTCATACATATACACATACATACACACAAAAGCCATTTATATGCCTTGCCACCCATCGAGTCATGCAAGCAAGGTTTTGTTTACCTTGAATCTTATTAGCAATCTGAAGCACTTAGATAACAAAGATAATCACTCATCCACTATACATGACCATTTACAAAAAAAAAAAAACAAAAAACACAACACTGTTTTGACATTGTGTATATATTTGTTTCTGAGGGCAACTTACTGGCTGTTTCTTCTGTCTGCTTTCAGCTTTGAAGACAAGGAGATCATGAATTTTCTCATTGTAAACTTCAAAATAGCTCATTTCAAGGTGATACAAGACCTAATAATAACAACAACAACAAGGTTCATTCATCTTGTCCAAGACACTTTCAAACGTTCTTTCTCCCTTGAAAACTAACACAGATGATGAGATCCTGCTGTCCATTATGATTCCCTAAGCTTACCACTGCTACACCAATTAAATTTGAGAGGAACAGAACGTAACCCTTCTTTAAGGCACTATGGAAATGGTCACAACTGCTTACTAATCCACTTAACAAGATTTGATTTGGATAGGAATTACAATCAAAAGAAACTGTGATCTCAATTAAAAAATCTCACCTTCTATTACAAAGCCCTCTCTGTCATACAGAGTTACGTACAAATAAAGGTCTATTCTCAAAACAGAGAAGGAAACATTACTTACAGCGAGATTTTTTAGAATGCTAACAATTCAGGTGGGGATAACTGAACTTTCCTTTAAGTAATTTCACCAGGAATACTGAAGTAGAAAATCAGAATTGGAAAACTCCTCAAGCAGATTTCAGACTGCTGTGGGACAGCACTAAAAGATGAATTCACATGCTTTAAATTTTATTCTATGTTACATTTTTTTAAACAACACTGTCACTAATGAAGCAAAACAAATGTTGATTTGGACTAGTCAAAGAAATCTGCTATTCAGAGCTACTAGCAGAAAGATTTGTATCAGCAATAAAATGTAGGCATCAATAAGCAGATAAACATGAGGGTATAAAGCAAAAGAATCAAACAGGTAAAGATACTGAACTGAACCACTCTACTCACAATTCTGCATAACCTGAGCTGCATAATCATCCTACCTGTTGCTGGTCCATCTGTGCTATCCGAGTGAAAAGATCTTCACAAAGTCTTGGAATTATCCCCCGGTCTTCACCAAAGCCCATCATCCTGTAGTTATTAAAAAATGTTAGTTTCATTTTCTAACTCCTTATAGCTAATTTTAATATTATTTGTACACATGGATTTAAAACATCACATGCTTCTTTAAGTACTAGAAGTAACTAGTTATGAAATAAACTTGATTTAAGTTGACAATTGTTTGAGCAGGGGGGTGGACGAGATTATATTTGAGATCTGTCATGATTTTCTTGACTCACCCCCTTGAGAAATGGGTTGAAAACACAAAGAGAAATTCTAGAACAACTGAAAAAGGACTATAAACAAGTACTATAAACAAGAATTTTATCTATTTATGTTTGATATCTACATGTATGTATACCATCCTCTGCATCCCATCAGTGTATAACTCAAGCCCTTCTCCCTATCCTAGTTGTTTCCTGTTCAACTCTGCCACAGCAGAAAACCAGCATTCCGTCCTGATTCAGCTACAGTCCAGAGACTAAGCTCACACAGCTACACAACATAGTTGTGAGAATACTGTTGCATATATAAGACCTGAGGACACAGTTATTACTGATACTAATTTCAGCCTTGCTAAAAATACAGAAAGGGTTGAAGGTAAGCGATTTTTTTTTTTTTTTTTTTAAATCTGAAAGCACAGGAAAAGAATACTATAAATAGGATAACAACTGCAATAGTACTGAGCATATCTTCTTCTAGGCCAAAGCAAGTAAATACTACAGGTACATTTTAAGATCCCACTTAAAAAGACAATCATGCCTCTGTGAATGTTACATATCTATGATTAAGAGAATAGAAACATCACATGATGCTAAATTGGATAAAAACATTTCGGATCCTCAACTACACATTTAAAATTTTAAAACACTTCACCAGAATTATAAAGAACATGGAAATGGTTTTAATAGATGTGTGGTTGAAAAGAAAAAGCTTTCCAGGCATTCTAGTGAAAAATACACACAAGGTACATAGGCTTGGCTATCAAATCCCAAAATACTATTTGTCTGGGATAGTGTAAAGTTTTTGGTTTTTTTTTTTGTTTGTTTGGTTGGTTGGTTGCAGTCAACATCAGATACATAAAAGCAAATACTGGGACAGTGTTACCTGTACTAAGTGTAAATATTAATGTCTCTCTGTTTTATTCTTTTAAAACATGTGACAATATTTAATACATTTTAATAGCTAATATATAGCACAATCTCTTTTCATACTTCACGTTGAATAGTAAGCCTGTAAGAATTGTATTTAGGAACTTACGTGTATGATTTTCCAGAGCCAGTCTGCCCATAAGCAAAAAGACAAGTGTTGTACCCCTCAAAAGCTCTTTCCAGTAGCGGCAATGCCAAAGTTTTGTAAATCATTTCTTGGCTTGCAAAGTTAGGATGACACTTGTCAAAAGACCAAAAAGAGAAGTCATAACTGAAGGTGTAGAGTTGGTTTGTGCTTGGATTTCGTACAGATGTCTCTGATCCGCTCATAGATACCACAGGGAGCAAGTTCTCATTTTTCTCTCTGAATGGAAGAACAAAAATAAATACAAAGATGAAAAAGGGTAAGCTACATTCCTTACATCAGCTTCTTCAGTTAATTTCTTCATGAAAATAAAAAGATGGGCAATCATCAGTTAAAAAAAAATTAAAAGCATTCAAGCTCAAAATACTTCAAATAATGACTACCTAAAGAACAGACTCAAGCTGCAATAAAACAAATTCAGCCTCTTAAAACCTTTACCTTGATGTAGAAATATTTGCTAATTTTGCTATGTATTAAACATTATTGAGCCTATGGAAAAATAAAAACCAAAAAAACAAGACGGAAACCAATATACACTGCTGTTGTTGTTCAACCCAATCAGCTCAGCTGGTGCTGAGCAGCTTTTCACATGCTCTCCCCTCCCAGCAGGATGGGAGAAGATGATAAAGCAAAGCAAAACAAAAAAAACAATGAAGTAGAACACATGGGTTGTGATAATAACATAATATGTATTCACAAACCAAGCGATGGACAACACAATTGCTCACCACTCACCAACCAGTGCCCAGCTACTCCCCAGCAGCAGCTGCCCATCCAGCCAACCCCCCTTAGTTTTTTCACATGACACTGAGTGGTATGGAATATCCCTTTGGCCAGCTTAAGCCCTGGTTCCGTTCCCTCCCATCTCCTGTGACCCTCAGCCCCTTGCTGGCAGGACAGCACCAGAAGCTGAGAAACTGAAATGCCCTTGGCTCTGTGTTTTAGCAACCGATAAAACATTTGTGTTATCAACACTGGTTTACTCGTAAAGCCAAAACACAGCCTCATATCAGGCGCTGTGAAGACAATCAACTCTGCCCCAGCTGAGTCCAGAAAAAAATATAGAAGGTATTAGGCAGCATCAGAGACAAGACTATGATACAAACCTGCTACTGAAAGGCCGCACACGCACAGCTACGACGACTTTACTGTTTTCTACTTTGAAAATATCTTTCTCAATGCTGTTGCTTTCAGCTAGAATTTCAGCATTCTCGTCTGCTTTTGCACTTCTACCCACAGGAGGAGAGCTTGTTTTCTTTCCTGACACAGTTGGAAGATTGGCTGTTTGTTTACTTGAAGCAGATAGAGATGACTTAACCTGAAAAGTGCTGTTCTTTGGTGTAAGCTTAAATTCTTCTGTCCAAGCTTTTGTTGGCGTCCTTGGTCTTTCCAAGCTGTTATGCTTTAACTGTTGTAACCTTGGCTTTCTATCCATTCTTCTTGTATCTCCTTGTTTGTTTAGCTGCTCTCCTGATATCTGATTAACATATTTTGAGGTAGCTATTTGTTCTGATATTGGCACTTCTTTTTCAAGTTTTGCATCAGCAGCGCTCGTCCTACATTTTGAGTGCACACAGCCACTGTTTTCAACATCGCCAAACAAATCCTTGCTATTAGACTGATAACTCAACTTTATAACTTGTTGACTCTCAGCTAACTTACAGCTTGGTTTAATATAACGGGTATCATTATTACTAATACCACGTTGAAGTGCAATCTTATATTTTCCTTCAGGATCAAAGACACTGTTTTCTGCACCAGACATGGTATTCCCATTAATTGTACTCTTTTCTACAGAGCCACTCTTCACACGCCTCTGCAGGGTAAGCCTTTTCTCCATTTGCTTATTCTCTGTGCCCTGGGGTGTATTTTTACCAGATTGTTCACTACTTGATGCCAAATTTTTGCTTGTTCTAGTTCTCCTCTGGAGCGTTAATCTGTCCTGAGGTTTCAGTGTAAGCGATGCATCATCCACATTTTTACAGGCCGAAATCACATAGGTCCTATTTGCTTCCTCAGACTTATTCTGAGAACGCGACAGAAGACTGTCCTGGTCTTCTTCTGATACCTTTGATGCCAGTTGCTGCTCCAACATTTTGCTGCTAGCTAAGGCATTTTGCGAAGCTATCTTCTGCGAAGTGGTAGTACATGGTACTTTATAGGTCTTGCTTACAGAAACTATGTGAACAGGCATTTTGTCTTCAAACAAGTTAACATGAGGACTACAGTAAATACAGCTGCTTCCTAAAATATTATACTTAGTTGCTTCTTCTCACAGAACCTGGAAAGATAAAGTAAGAATTTTATGATGTTTATGACAGATGTGAGTTATACTTCAGGGCACTGGCAGCTCCTCACATATACTGAAGTAAATGTATGTTCCCAGATATCAGTAACAATCAGCATCCTTTATTTTACATCCAGTACTTAAATACTAATTTATATTTGAGTGACTATTTTCACCAGCTATTTGACTCCTTTTATGGAGTTCTACCATTTGCTTCAGAAACATCAGAAAGAAGCAGCATCAGTGCAAAGACCAAAGGGATTACTTAGTAACAAAGATGAGCACAGACATAATCTCAGGCGAGTCCCACGGACTCCTAAGCAAAGGGAACATGAAGTCGTGCCTCCATCACTCAGAACTGCTCACACCTGTGGTGTTTGACAGATACCAACAGAACAACACCGTTAACAGCAGAACACTGCAAACAAAGCAGGTTCTACCGGGATTCTGATGCACAACATGAAACGTAGTAACAAAATATGTTAATAAAGATATTTCATACAAGATCTTATTTTAGACTACTCTATTCCATTCTCACACGGCAAAGGCACAAGACAACTAAGCCAAGGGATGAAAGAAAAGCGGTATGGCTATCGTCTTTTTCACATTACTCGTCTTAAAAGCAAGCAGACAACGAAATCACGCTGCTTCTCCCGCAGAGCGGGAAGCCGTACCCGCCCAGCCTCCACAGGAACACACCGTTACAGGTCCGCCATCACCACCCCCTGCACACCTGTCAGCTGCTACCAAACTGCCGTGAAATGCCAACAAGAAGTCACCCGCCTTTCGATTCTCCCAGAATCGTATCGTCAGCAGGCAGAAAAAGGGAGCGGACGGGGAAAAAAGGGATCTCTGGCGACGAGGAAGCGTCAGGCTAAGCGCTGCTCCAACGGCAGTTTCCTTTAACGCTACACTTCACAGTTACAGCTTTCGGAGCGCGCACCCTCAGCCCCCGAGCCGCGCCGGGACCGGCCGCCCCAGCAACGGCCCGTCCCCTGCGGGCAGCCTGAGGGAGACCCATCCCCGCTGCGACAGGAAGCGAAGCCCCGGCCCTCCCCTCGGCCGCCCCGCTCACCCTCCGTCTCGCCTCCGCGCGCCCCGACCACGGTTCGCGTCCTCCTCCCGCCCCGTTTGAATGTGCCGGGCCCGGGGGATTGGCTCGCGCCGGGAGCGGCGTCACGGAGGGGCGGGGCCGAGGCGGCCCGTAGTCTCTGCGCCGCCGGCGGCGGGGCCGGGCCGCGGAAAAGCACCGCGAGCGCCGCGCAGTCCGGGCGCCCCTCGCGCAGCACGGCGGCGGCACGAAGCCAGGCTGCGCCTCACAGCACGGCGGGACACGGCGCGCGCGGGGGAGCGCGTCATCGTCTCGTGACGTCTCTACAGAAGCACAGCGGGCGTTCCCTGAAGGCTGAAAACGTTTTACGACACGTTTGCTGCGTAAATTTCTAAGTACTGCGTTTAGAAGCAACTGAGACGTTTTTAAAGCGCCCAGCAGAGGGAGACAAAAGCCAAAGCAATGGAAAAAGATACCAACCGTCATTTCTCGAGCCTCAGTCTAAAACAACATAAAAAGGAAGTTTCACTTATGACCAACCTCCAACCGTGGACGATAAGTAGTAACATGTAGTAACACCAGCTATCCCAACACTTGCTACCACCACTCTAAGTAACGCTATTTTCATAGCTTTGGTCTGGTTTCCTGGAAGAAAACCAGTGCCAGAGAAAGACAAGAATTACACATAAACGAGTAGCAAATGGATATGATCACTTACATATTAACAACTATAATGGTTCATGACCAAAAAAAACAACAACAAAACAAACAAACAAAAAAAAAAACCACACAGATTTCTTCCTTAACTTACCTGGTTTATCCCATTTTGCTACAACAAAGATATACTAACAGCCAGGTATTGCAAAAGATGAGATAAAAGTGAGACATTAGAAAATCAGATTTTTTTAAAAAAAGAAATACAGAGAGACGTGAAAATTGCACATTTATTTTTATCACAGTTGCATAATAATTACAAAGTTTGCTTTATCTTTGTTACCTCAGAGAATTATTTTTGTCATGTTTTCTAATGATGTCCATAATATTATCCCCTGTTACAAGGCTATTTTCTAATTGTTTAAGTCTCTGCTGTTCCCTTCTCTTTTGGTCATGTAGATATGGGGAATTAAGCAGCTGTGGGGGAAGAATAGTGCCTGTCGGTTTTACCCTCTTCACAACATCCCAGAAGAGTTTCTTGCTGTTGTTATTGATAAAAGTAATCGCAGTTCCACTGTGACCCAGCCTCCCTGCTCTTCCAACCTGAAAAAGCAACATCTCAGTTTAAGTTATTAAAGCTCAGTTTAATATCAAGTACAATTTCCTCATATCTCCTTATTTTCTGTTATAAAACACAGTTAGGTATTCAGGAAGTTATGTAAATGACAATATCTTCATCTCATCTTCTACACATAAAAATTCAATACACATCCTAGATTTGAGATACACTGATCAGAAGCTTTAATTTACATGCATGAAAAATTACTATTTGCTTATGGGACATAGCAGAAATCCAACACTAACACTGAGGTTTCATAGAACTACAGAATCCTAGTTTTTCAAATGCTATATCAACACCACATACATGTGCCTTGTTTTCTGTACAATATGTGCAAGTTTCATCATAATAAAAGCCCTGTACTTGCAATGTTCTCGAGACAAAATTATTTCTCTGTGTCATCCAAAGTGCTCAAGAATTAGAAAAGAATCTAAAAAGATTCTCTAATTACAAAAAAAACAAAAACTATTTTAGCACCAGTACAGTTCTGTTATTTATTGACTACTTGCTGAAGTACAAAAATCATCAAAAAATAAAGCAGTGTACTGTAGTTAGTAACATGAAATAATTGAGGTTAGAAGGACTTCTGAAAGTCACACAGTCCAAACTCCCATCCCAAACAAGGCTAACCAAATTTAGATCAAGTTGCTCAGGACCCTGTCCTGCTGACTTGTGAATGTTCCCGAAGACAGAGGTTCCACAACCACTCTGAGCAACTTGTTTCACTGCCTTAACACACTCTCCATGAAAATGACCTTCCCCTTTTATCTGGTCAGAATTTCCCTTGCAGCAAGTTGTGACCATTGTTTCTTAGCCTTTCACAGCAGATCTCCAAGAACAGTTTGGCTCCATCTGCTCTGTAACCATCCATTATCACAGCAATTAATTCTACTCTAAGCCTTCTCTTCTCCAGCCCAAACAAGTCCATCTCCCTTAATCTCTTCATCTAAGACACAGTATTTCCATAAGTGGATGTCATATTTCAGTATACTTTCAAATTAATACTTCAACAAATGACAGAATATTTTGTTTTTTTACCTGATGTACATACTCATCCATACTTGAAGGCATATCAAAATTTACGACCAGTTTGACATTGACAAGGTCAAGTCCTCGTCCAAGGACTCCAGTACTTACTATCACTTCATACTTCTCTTGAAGTAATCCCTGACAGGGGAGGAAAAAATTATTTTTTTATTTATCTGCTTTTCAAACATGAAATCTTCTGTTGGCCAATGTGTTTATTCTACTACAAAAGACAGAATGATCCCTCGTATTCTTGATTTAAATAGGAGTACTACTTCCAAAGAGCAAAAGAGAGACCAGAACCCACATTTTAATTATAAAAGCATCAATTAAGGTGAAATGCATATTTACATTCCTGTTTCAAAGCAAATAAGCTAGGAAATAGTGTCCAGCATTTATCTGCATTTGAAATAACCTCATCTGTAATTTTACCTGGTCCCACACCTCTCTCCTCTTTTCCCCCACAAATACTTCATATTTAACCACAGAAAAACAGTAAACTGTGATCTAATTAAGCCATTAAACAAAAAGCCACTTTCTATCTATCAAGAATCTAAAAACGTCAGGAGGCACAGACCTGTAATATGGCTGTCCTTTCCACCTGAGATTTTTCAGAATGCATAGATGTACATTGTAATCCTGTAATCTTATGAACTGCGTCACTCAGCAGATCTGCTCCTAGCTTGCAGTCCACAAATACCAACACTGGAGGCTTGAAAAGTTTCTTATCCTGTAAAATGGAAATAAGAAGGTAGCACAGGTTGTTGCTCATCATCAAGAACTCTGATTTGATCTTTGCTGCTCAATGTCTCTAGCAGTAATATCTCTTCCAGATGAGTAAACATTCTTAAATTCCAGACAAGAAGCCACAAGACAGCAGCCATCAGCACAATTTCATACATCATAAACATATAAGATTTGTAAGTTCAGAACCCAAGTTTATCTCAATAACATGCACATTTTATAAGTAGGGAGCTTTCTTGACAAAAAAGTTACATTACACTTCTGAATTTCTTTACGTTCTGATGTTCAGTTAAAAATTCTTATTTATTTCTTGCATAACCCAGGTCAAGACTCCCCCCTTCCATCCCTTCTGTATTCCTAAAGTACACATAAGTAATTGAGGCCTGCAATATTCATATACAGAAAATTCAAGAAAGAACTAAATTAGCATTCTTTGTTTTCTAATGACCTTTAAAATGACAACTCCTAGGCCATAAAGCAGCTATGACAGTTTTCACAAGTCCTGTTCTTCCACCACACACAGATAATCAATACAAATCTTTAAGGTGCCATTCTGCAGATCACCAAAAACACCAAAATGATGATTTTAAACTTAGTTCTAAGAACAGGAACGTAGTCTGCTGCTGCAGAAGGATGTGTGAGTGGCAGGGGTGGAGTACTTCCTAAAATTGCCAATGAAGTTCTCGTGCAGCAGCACTGTTGAGCGTGTAACTGCACTATTTCAACATCACCCTCTTCTTCACTATGTACAGATCAGAATCAAAGACGAGAACCTGACAGAGCATTGTGAAAACAGACAAACTTTTAAAAATGTCCTATGAGAACAACACTGCACTTACGTTTAGTATTTCAAACAGTTTCTTCTTTTTAGATGGTTCTTCCACCCACAAAATAATCTGGCGCACATTGGAACATGGTAGATTCTTTTCTCCAATTGTTATTCTTACAAAATCATGCAGAAGCTGATTTGCTAAGTGTTCAATACCCACTGGGATTGTGGCTGACACCAGTATAGTTTGATGATCATGAGAGATGTCTTCCAAAATATCCAACACTTGCTGCTGGAAACCCATTTTTAACATAGTATCCACCTAAGTAAAAAATATTGTATCTGTATCAGATTTCTCAATAAACAGAATAAACAGCATAAACATGAACTCGAAAAGAAAAATGACCCATGATGCATATGATTGGTGTGTAATAATCCCAATGCAGTAGAAACTTCAGTTAGAAGAAAAGCTATATAGGAAAATTGAAAATAACTGGCCCAAAGTAGCATCGTCCCAGCTGTCAGATATGGAAGTCTTTTACAGTCGATAGAATATGCATTGTTCAAACATCTCAAATTGTTAGAGGTGAAATTTTCTCATAACAAATATATTTCATCTTTACAGTGAACATTCTATGTGTATAATCATCTGATAATGCACCCACAACGACTCTCTACAAGGATCTCTGTACATACAATATAGCCTTAAGAATTAACAAACTCACTTCATCCACTACTATGATTTTTATGCCACGCAGTTGTACAGAATTTTGCCTCACAATCTCTAGAAGTCTTCCAGGTGTTGCTATTACAACCTGACAAAAGACAAAAGGAAAAAATCTGTTAAAGGAGAGAAAAAAAAACCTGGAAAAAACTATGAAGTTACAGCACGGAGGTGAGAACGATGATAATTACTGAAGCTACTTATGTTCAAATAAACCTCTAAGTTTTTCTAGGTAACTTAATTATGAAGTCTCAAAAGGAAATGAGTTTCTTAGTACTCTAATGGAAACATCTAAATACCAGCAGTGTAATCTAAACTGCATTAAAAAAAAAAAAAGAACTATTTTTGACCTTACCTACAACTCTGTCTACAAAAATGGCATGTTTCACTAATTGAAAATAGCAATATTATGTGTGATCCTTTCCAAAACAACAACTATCTTTACTACATTCAATCAGAAGTAAAATGTAAAGAATTATTACTTTATACTATTATAAAATTTTCAAAAGCTAAGTTATTTCAGTAAAAACTCAGGAAAAACTCTGCATCTGTGCATATACAGCTACATCAACAGTCACATTTTTCTTTTCTGCAAATGCTGTGAAAACACAACTCTCCAGAGCACCTTTGCACACTGCAGTCCTTACCTTGACACTTTGCTTGAGACGATGAAGCTGTGGTGGCAATGGTAAACCTCCTACCAGGAGAACTGTTCTCATGTTTGGTAAACCAGCCATGAGTTCTTTAGCTTGTCTTTCTATCTGAATTGCTAACTCTCTTGTTGGTGCCAAAATAAGGGCTGACGGAGTTTCTGCCTACAGAGAAAGGGGAGGTAAGAAATCTGTTCAACACAAAACTGCTTCATTGTTTAGGTAAAAAGCTTTCAAGACTACCTCTCCCAGTACTGAAATACAAAATATGTAGCGCAGCTACTGTGGATACAGTTAGACTGCTAATGCCTTTTCTATCTGAAGCAGGAAGGTAGAAAAAAAGATTCCTGACAAAGAAAAAAAAGAAAAAAGAAAAAAAGGCCCAGAAAGGAATCCAAGCGGTGCTTTGTTTTGTTATTTTTTGTGTTTTAGTTATTGCAACTGAAATTACAAAAGAATTCAAATTCCACACGAACTCAAAACACAGGATGCTAGCTAAATCCAGAGAGATTACAAACATTTTAGAAGTCTTGATATCACAGGAACTCAATATTTCTCCTTATCATTTTAAACACCATTGGGACTAAGCAAATCAATAAGTATTAGACAGAGAGGACAAATACCGATAGGACACCCACGCAGCAAAAACATCTCACAGAAAACTTCAAAACAAAATCAATAACCCCTCTCACCCACTTATAATCAGCCAGACAGAGACTAAATACAAAATTGCTACTGTCTTCAAACATCTTTTTGTTCCCTATTTAAGGATCTTCAAATTATCACCTCCTCCTGCAAATCTAGAAAACACAAAATTACAGTACAGCAATTCCTCTCAGACAAGAGTTTCTCAAGCACAATTAATACATAGTAATGAAGTAAAAAGAATATAAAGTACAACAGGAAAATGAGGAAAAAAAAAAAGGTAGAATTACGGTCTAGCTCCAAGATGCACTATTTCACTAATATTAATCACAGATCACTGAGTACATCCTTCATCAAATAAACACAGTTCTCACACGTACTGATACCTATACTGCAATTTCACATAATAGTTATTTTGGATAGTATCTGTTTCTTTCTGTTCTTTAACTGGAATATTTACAAATGACCAACACCAGGAAATGGTTCCTTTCCCACTGTATCTTCGGGGGAATTACATAGTCCAGGAGGACATGGTTAAGTTGAACACTTGCCAAAATGAAAACAACTGAAAACTTACCACCACAATTAGAAGTATCTAAGCCAGGAAATGTCAAACATTATCTTATAACCACATTTCCCTTACATTCTTAATGTATCATTTCTCTGTTACATTAAAATGAAAATTATTTTAAACAAAATACTTTTTACATATAAGTTAACTAGTAAAGTATCCTTAGGATAGAAAACAAAAGAGTTTATGTAATGAAATAATATTCATTGAGACTCTGATTCTGTACACATTACTATACACATACAACTGCCTTGCAGACTTTGAGAGTAACCAGACAGAAGAGACACCAGAGTGTAATAGCACTGCTCCTCTATAATGCTCCTGTATAACCAACTCCCCATGATACAGTATTTGGAAGATAAAGAGATAGTTAAATAATCTTTAGACTATTAAGTTGAAATACATATACACATATCTATCTCTCTATAGGAAAGACATATAAACCGTGTAAAATATCACATGGATCAATCAGATCTGGAATTTTCAAATTTCAAAATCTTCTTGATTATAGCCACTAAAGCAATATAGAGCTGATGCACAAGGCATAAAATACTATTTGCCATTATTTCTCACCATACATTCACATCCTCCTGAAGCAAAGATTTTCTTAACTGCTTTCTCCCCACTGACACTGCAAGAAGCTGCTTGTATAGCAACAAGATTTGCAGAATCGTACAACCTGAAACTCCTGTAGTTGTTTGATGGTCAGCCAACCATATCTCAACTGAAATTACCCCAGGAAATCATACCAATGTCAAAAATCTTTCAACCACCTGATGCAACAAGATCTAGCAACTACTACTCACAAAACACATGAAATCATTTTCTAAGTCATGTAGGAAGTTTACCTCAGAACTTAGCTACCTTTCTTAATAAAAAATGTATATTATATAATACTAATGGAGATGATTTAGCATTCAAAGTGCAAAATAATCAACAGGCCTCCCCCACAAAGAACCGATGTTCAATTAAATAAATAAATGACTTAAAATAAAGAAGACTGCAATTGCATTCTCAATTACACTGAAAATCTTGACGACAAAGTAGCATATCACTTCCTCAAAACAAACACGATTTCATTACCTCGTTCAAAACCTTCATAATAACAGGGAGTAGGAAGGCTGCTGTTTTTCCTGAGCCTGTGTCTGCACTAGCCAAAATATCCCTCCCTAACAGTCCAACAGGGATCATTTGCATTTGGATGGGAGTTGGGACTTCATAGCCAGAATTCTTTAAATTACTGTTTAAAGTTTCAGGAAAACCACAGTGTTCAAACTCTATAATAGGTCTTGGAACTTGCTGGCCCTGGATTGCGATACCTAACTGCAGTTTAAGGTTCTCAACCTGCTCATCTTGCAAACCTAAAATAAAGGAGTGATCTTTATAGAAATAAGGTGTATTAAGGAGGTGAGTTTCTTCTTGAGATCCTCCATGTGCGAGGTGATCAGATTTTAGCTTTTCCTCCTTTTCTTGAATTTGTAGAAGGTGTTTGGCTTTACATTCCAAGCTACAAACATCTTCATCTGTTTTATCACATATATACTCTCCGTAGCGACCACAGACAACACACACAGGTTCTCCAGGTTCTGCCCAACGCTGAGATTTGCTGAAGGACTTTATGGGTTCTTCTGAAGAGCTATCTTCAGTGGTACTTTGCTCGTCTTTTCCTAAAGATGGGTCAGGAACACCAAGATCAGAAGGAATAGCGATGGGCTCTGCGCATTGCACAACTTCATCCGAATCACGTTTTGAAGTGGAAGTTTCTGTTCTAGCTGATTTATCATCTTGGAACTCTAAGGAAGACCTTCCAGAAGACAATTTATTTTTCTTGGCCGTACAGCTTCTGTCCTCATCAGCACTCCTCTTGACTTTAACAGACCTTGGTAAAAACATGCTTCTGTACAGCAGAAAAGAAACAGCCATTAGAGAACAGTACAGAGCCGAGGAAATTTCCAACCCGGAAACCCACCCCTAATAAAGACACGGAAGGTGCCCCTTTCAAAAATCACCTCGGTTAGCAAAGCCGCCGCAGGCCAGCGGCGCTCGGACCGCCCGGCTCGCCTCCGCCGCCGCCCCCCCTCGGGCCCGGGAGGCCCCAGCTCACTGCTCCGCTTTCAAAATGGCGGCACGGGACGGGTTGAGGGGAAGGGAGACAGGGAGCTTCGGACGTGCGGCGACGTGCGGCGAGAGAAAGGGGGGCGGCCGGGTTCCCCCTCGCCTGGAGGAGTCGAGCCCGAGGCCTGGAAACGGATGGCCGCGTGGGAGCCGGTGCCGCCTCGCCGCCCGCTTCGTTCCGGAGGGCCGAGCCGTGCGGTGGCGTGCCAGCGGCGCTTTACGCCCCGAGCACACAGCAAGGACTGGCACACGCGAGACAACGTGCTATTACTGCACCTAATGGAGGCGTGGGGCATGCTAGCTACATTCCTAACTCGCGTATTTACCCATGTTCAGCACACGCAAGGGCAGCAATCCGGGAAATTACTTCTATGCCAGTAAGTAAAAGGCACGCCGTGGAGCCTAAACCATTCACACTGCTTTAATATCGCCGTGGAGAAGACCAGAACGTGTCACATTTCGCAAAAGGGCAGAATTAACTTTCAGACGCCGCCTCAAGCCGTCCCCCGCCACGCGGTACGGCGTGACGCCGCTGCCGGGAAGCTGCCCCGCGGCACGGATGCGTGCGGCAGAGCAGGCCGGGTATCCCGCAGCCGCTCCCTGCCTTACCGAGGGCGCGCGTCACCGGCAGGAGGCGAGCTGCAGCCACGGCCAGCGGCACCGGCGCCCTGCGGGACCCCGTTCGCTGTGTGCCCCGCTCCTGGTCTTCAGCACAAGCCACACCACCGGAGTACTCCCCGTCTAAAAGTACTCCCTAAGACCACAAATAAGGCGGTGCGTGGGAAAGATGCTTGCTGAAAGCGCCAAGGCTGCTGCGGTCTGAAGGCACTGCCCGTCCTCCGGAACAGATTGTACCTTCCCTCCTTCCTCCTCCAATACTGAGCCCATTAGTAATGGCTAGTAATTAACACTTCCTCGTTAGGCACTGACACTTTTTTTTTAAATTATCACTTCGCAGATGCAGAAACTTAGTTGGATTTTATAATATCACTGAATGCAGCAGTGCACACAAACACACATGCACAAAAGAATTACTGCATACTAACATTCACCTCGACAAGTAATTTCAGCTATTAAATTTATACCCACTTCTGTTAGACTAATGAAGGAATTAGCAATAAAATAATATTGAAGTTAATTCCACTCAAATTATTAATACTCGAGTATTGCTAATTATAATTGGTAATATGATCATGAATAGTCATTATTAACATGAAAGTGTTATTGCTGATATTGAAGTCCTCCACTTCTTGATCTATTTTAAATGATACAAGAAACGTGTTCCCATGCTGATCCATGGCGTCTGTATCAAACCTACCAAAAACAAGTGTAGCACCTTGGATTCTTGCCTGCAGTTTACCAGCAGCTATTTTGCCCCACCTCTCACAGCCATCCTTCAGAAGCATGAACCAACTTTTCACTTCACTCGTGAACAGTAAATAATTCAGTGACACAAGACTGGATTAAATCAGAAGACCAAAATCCCTGTTCAGAAGGAACAAGTGTGTTAGGCACGCTACATCAGTGATGGTATCAGAAGCATTCCGAAGAGCAGTGTGACAGCAGTGACACAGCTCAGCCCTCTGCAGTGATACCTGCCTGAGCGAGCCCTGCTAGCTACACTGCACTACAACACAGCCTGCAGGCACCTCACAGTCTGGCTTCTTGGGTTCCACAGAGGGTTTCATTAACAAATGCATCCCAAAGGGTAAGAGTCCAAAACGCTTCAGTATAGTGCGCTTTAAGTTTCCTTCGTAGGCAAAATATCCTCATGCCAAGCCTGAATTTTCCACGTGGGGTGAGCCCCCAGTGTAGGCTGGCTGTGTACCCACAGTGGACTCAAATTCGAGTAGAAATGAAGCCAACACATCGCTCCCTCCAGTGGCAAGTGTCAGTACTGACACGTCCGAGAATTCAAGCGTGCCTCCAAATGACAGATCAGAGATTGGGATTTTCTTCATGCTACAGGATGCGCATCGAGTTACTTCATATGAAGCACTGTTCTGAAATAAGGAATTTCACGGCCTTATCTGTGGTTGTTAATGTCATAATTCATAAAGAGCAATATATTTATGATGATGTTACTTAGAATAATTGGCTGAAATAATAATAATAATAATAATAATAATAATAATAATAATAAAAGAGTAAAAGAACACTTCACCACACTTATATGTGGAGTTAGCAAAATATCTGCTAGTTGGGAAGGGAGGGAGGATGTCTGTCCATTCAGGTGACACAAATCAAAGCACATTTACTTGGAGATGGGCCCCATATCTACTCCACCTGATGCTACAAAAAAGTTAACTTCCTGTTTCTTTCAAATTTCAGGATTTGGAAGGCACTTTGCAGATTTGTAGGTGAGGCAGTAATCAGCAGCTCTAAGCTGAAGCTCACTTGAAGAACAGTTCTTCAAACAAACCGCTCAGTCAATGACAGTGAGTGACTCCACTGGTTTCTGAATTACAGCCTTAAAGGAACCACACAGGAAAAATCCAGATAATCTAAAAACAAGTAATGTGGCTAATCCTTAACTAGTCAATTCTGCTAACATTCATATCAATTGTCTTGATTTCATACAGACATTGAACACACTGTTTTTATTCTGAGACCAGGCAGTAAACAGGCAACTCCTAAGGTTGTTGCAAATAATCAACAAAAGAAGGCTTGGACAACTGAATTATTTGGGCTTCCCGAGCATTTTTTCTTTGGAGAGCCACATTCCAAGAAGATATTGGTTGATGTTTCTCTCTGCAGAAATCTGTGGTAAAATTTGAATTAATAAAAACCTAAGTAAACCTTTAAGAGTTTTACTTGCTTTAAGAGTAGTGCTTTAAGAGTTTTAGTGCTTTAAGAGTATTACTGAGTTGTGGGTTTGTTTGTTGTTTTTAGTTTATAAAAAACACAAATAAATCCAATCCTGAGCTCTGGCATTAAGTGCCAAATTCCTACAGGTGCAGAATGTCTTCATCTTTCCATGCCATGTCAGAAAAGAAAAAGGGATATCACCTATTTCTGGTATTTGCATTTGCTGTTTTTTTCTGTGATCAATTATTTTTCCTCTACTAATATCCAAGATCCAAATATTAGAATACAGTTCTTTAATTAATTATTTTATAATTATGGTACTACATGCCCAAAACATTATTTTTCCATGATGCCACTGCTTCATTAATACAGATCCACAGAAGTATTCCACAAAAGCCAAAATACTCACCTTTTACATTATTCTCTTGCTCTTTCTGTAAGGATCTCAAATCATTACATTTGAAAGCTGCTTACTACTTTGCTATTTAGACTCACATAACAATGAATAAGGCTGGTTTATTGCTGCATGAGATGAGCACCATTCCAAAAACAAGATTAAACTCCCACTGAAATTAAGTCTGCATTCTTTCCCTTACAGGATCCCACACAAATGGATGCGTGAAGAAGAGAATGCACAAGAGACAAGAGGAATTAAAAGTTCCAGCTTACCAGATGACAGTGTTTGCTACTACTCCTGGCTTTAGAAGCCACTGGAAGCTGCTGCAAAATAGAGGAGCCTTCCAAAACTTGCTGCTATTGGCTGACTTGGTGGCTACGCAGCTCCACAAGTCAAGTCCAAAAGCTTCCTTTATGTCAGCCCTCCCTGCTGCTCTGAGTGGCTCCTAATGCTAAGTTTCAGCATACAGAATTCTAAATTCCTGAAATGTCATTCTGTCCACAAAGTATTCAATACACTCTTAATAGTTCACCTAAAAAAATAAAACTCATGGATAATTTTTTCCCACTGACTCACTCCGAAGCTCTGACATTCATTTTGCAGTCCTGTGACTTATTTGGTATTAAATTTCCTAGCAGAGACTTTGTCACATGCTAAAAAAGAATGTGACTGATATGCAAAATAGAGGATAAAAAAAATTGTGATGTAGTTTACCAAAATGAAGTGACACCTTCAGCTAACATCTTTTCTACAAGCACTGTAAGGCAATGTAGATACCTCATTACTGAGTGGAACATTTATCCACAAAGTTCTAATAGGAAAATGTATCAGAGTTCAAAGGGCAATACTTTTTAAAAAAAAAAAACCCTTTCATTTATGTCCAAAATGCATACAGAAAATTTACTTTTCCTCCTCTAGAAGTACTTCTTCCCTGTTTGCTTTCCTTAGGTAGAGACAAGAACGAGATGACTGTTCTGTTTTGCTACACCTAACACTCCTTCCCCCCCCCCCCCCATATTTTTTTTTTTTCATAAACTCCAAAACTTACCTTGGAAAGCTAAATGTGAAACTAAAGTCTCCTGCCAGTTCCTCCCCACTAAAGAATGTACCACCATTTGCTACAGCCCAGAGTTCTGTTTTTTTTTCCCCCTCCATCACCTGGGAGGCCATGGGTTTTCATTAGCTGTAGCAAACAGCATAGTGGTAAAGAAGTGATCTGTATCTGGTCATAGCACAATTACATTTCTGACCTATTAGTCAGAACAAACAATAAACACTGTTTATTAGTCAAAATGAAGTGCTTATGCTGGCTGCATCAGCATGGACAACAGCTAACTCAACTAGAAACTATCAATAGAAAGCTACTGCACTGAAATTTGAAATGAAACAGTTGTGCACTGGACAGACAGTATTACATGGTGCTGCTAATCCTAGAAATTAGATACTATACTATTTAACCATAACTTCAAGTACAGTTTTGGCCCTTTGACTCTTTATAAGAGAACTACTTGATTTTTCTGTACATGTTTCATTAGGATAAAAATGATACAATCCAGTCATTACAAAACTGGTACACTGCTCAGATTTTATGGAGTTAAAAATCACTTATGTAAATCTGTGAAAATAACCTTAAAATTCTAGTACTTGCTTTTTTTTCCCTGCCTTCATGACTTACTATTAATCTGATCATATATTTTAATTAACTTCACCCTTGCACTTGAATATTCACTCATGACAAAAATGAGCTGCCCTCCTAGGCAAATGCTACTGGAAGATAAACATGCAACAGTTATCCTACAGAGATACAAAAGCACAGATTTAAGAATGATAGAATAACAGGACTAAATAGCAAGCCTTCAAGTTACACCTTCCTCCTAGCATAAAGTGCCAAGTACAGGAGAAAATGAAAAGCTTTAGTCTATACTCCAATCCATGAATACCAAAGCCCTGTGGATCAGTTTGAAATTGGACTGGGTATACAAGGAGATGACCAAGACTCTGTAAATCCCAAAATAACCTTGCTCTAGGCCTTAACAGTCCACCTCTGAATTCTTACCATTTCAAAGCTTGGCTCTAATTACAGGTTTCTCCAGTTGCTTTTATTTACATTCTTCTAAGAAACTCAGCTCAGACAAAACAACTGCGCTCCAAGTTCAATTCCAGCCAAATCAGTACTTCTGGTACAAGCAGATTAGTTAAGAATATCCCCTCAAAACCAAACATAAGCAGTAGAAGTAACTCATCTGAAAACAGCTGCCAGTCCATGACCTCCACGTTCGTAAGAACTCCCACCCACTTAAAAGTGGAAGACACTCAGAACATGGCTTGACTCCTCTGATCAGAGGATGGCAATGTACCCAATACTGTGTATTGCACTAATTTATTGCACAAGTGTAGTTATCACATAGCTCTGCACTAAGATTATTAAATATGAATAGATAAACCAGAAATACTTTTCTCTTATGGGATATACCTAAACTCAGTATGTGCAATTATTTTTTATTGCATAAAGGATAACGTTCTTTAAGGCTACCCAGAACAGCAAGTTCAGCTGTGATCAAACTGAGGTCCTGAAAACTGAGTAAGTGAAAATACCTATTGGTATATACAGCAACTAGAGACTACAGATAACCCAAAGAGATGAGAACATATCACTAAATGTTCAAGAAAATATAAATCCTTTAAGCCTCTCAAGCTTTTTCTTCTATAAACCATTTGCAGTATTTATCCACTAGCAGTTACAAGCACTAAGCAGACAACACTACCTCCCATGCCTCATGGCACCAAATTTCCTGTTATTTAATTGTGAGTTCCATGATCACAGACCTCTAAAGATGAAACAACAGATTTATCCTTCTGAAATTTAGCAGGTTTCCTAAATGTTGTTTACTATGGGAACACACAGTCAATGCATTAGCTCAGCTTGATAAAGCACAATAGCTATTAAAAAAGAAAGCAAGCTTAACAAATGCAGCCTATCTCTCACTACCACACTTGAATGACTGGTTCCCTATGCTTTCTGTTAAAAAGATTCAAAGAAAATGCCAGTAACCTTACAGCTGGTGACTCTAATACCAGAGGGTAGCAAGACAGAAATAATGAATGCCTCCTTGTTAAGCAGTTCTGTTTGTGCTGTTCCAAGAAAGATCTGCCAAGAACTTGCCATGCAAACCTTATTTTTTCTGTGATTTGTAACTTGGCTGTAAAAAATTCCAGCATAATAATGCCTAGTTCAGAAGAATTCAGATTTTGGGTTATAATATAATATATTATATATATATAATATACTTCTAAATTTCAGAATAAATTCAGTCTACACTAAATAAGAAACTGCGTAGCATTTCATGTATTTTTAGTTGTTACCCTGAAAAAAAATTGTCATCAGCCATTTGCATGCTAGATCATCATACATTTTCTAACCTTTTTGGGTATTAAATTCTAATCTTTTGGATGTTAAGTAAGTCCAAAGAATTCTGATATAAATGGCAAATTTTGTGCTGTATGCTCAAGTCTCCACTGACATGTATTTTCCTTCTAGGAAAAGCTGTATGAAATCCATACGAAGAACTTGGGGATTCTAGCTGCTAAACAACCCAGTGGATTAAATCTGTGCTAATTCTTAAGACAAAGCAGCTGACTTGGCCGTAAGGATAGGTTGGGAAAAAACTGGCAAAATCACATCAGTCTTATAAAACACAAACTTAGAAAGTCCACATGAAAATGCTCTGGTTTGGTTTTGTTTAAACCAAATGATTAACAATTTCAAGCCATGCAAGTGTCCACTTCCAGTTTTCCAACATCCTTTTTTTTTTTTTTGTAGCATAGGATCCATTAGAACGAGGTCATTCTGTAGAGTTTCTTGCCAAAACAATATTGTTTCATGTTGTAACTAGTAAGATGCACACAAATTAGACTGTTACATGTAGCATCATGTAACAATGCAGACAGAAGCTCCAGCTAAGGAAGTCTTCCAGGAAAAGGCCAGTCATGAAGAAGCCAGAAGGCTACAACAATTACCTGAGCACTGAGAAGAGCTGTGGAAAGGTGGTGGCTTAGGTTTGTGCCAAAGGGGAAGAAACCTCCCAACAGTTCTAAACTAAGAGACAACAAAAATATACCAATCAGTTATAAAATAGTTCTGAATTTATCTGACAGGTTCACTGCCAGGACGTTCTTGAAGAAATAAAGCCAGAAAACAACACGACACAGAGGAGCAAAGAAATGATTTTGTTCATTTTCTTGACTAATTTGCCTTTTTTTTTTTCCCCCCCTTCAGGGGACTCTGCCTATAGCACATCAGCCTCCAGAACACCTCTACCTACCTTACAGTTTTGTGCAAATTAAATCTAAGTAGGCATATGAAACAACAGCTCCTCTGAGATTATTTGCAATTCAGCCAAACACATTAGATATAAAAAGGAAAAATGCTAGACATGTTGCATCATTCTTGAGGACTCCATGAAATGAAGTAAAGCCATGGCTCTCATTCCCATTCTGTTCTGCTTCAGAGTAAACTAAAGCTGCAGAGGAACAGCTCCCCCTGACATTACTGATTCAAATACTTGAAAACAGCATTACTGCACTATTCAACTTGAACAAGGAAAAAGTGTGGCTAGACAGACAAGAGACGAGTAAGAACAAAGAGAGCCTACCAGATCAGTGGGACTCAGAGCAAAACCAAAAGGCTTCTGTATTACCAACCCTGTCTGTTCTGCAAGCAGCCACAAACATAGTCAGTGGTTATAAGAGGGAGTTGGCCCTGGGAAACATGTCAGTATGTCTTCAGTGATTAAAGAGACAGCAGAAGTGCATCTCCATGCAGATGGCTCTTAATCATCAGTTGATACACAGGAAACCTGCTCTCTAGTAGCAGCGAGGATATTTCTGCAGGACTCTTAAGTAATGAAATCAGAGCAATGTAATAATATCAAAGCCTTATTTGCTACTGCTTGCCTACTATTACAGTATCTAAAACCCTGTAATCTTGACTCTGAAGCGACATCATTCATCACTTTGTTCTACATTTCCACTGGTCTCTGGGTAGAACACCTACAACCCAATACAACAAAATGTTTACAATTCTTATTTTTCATCTCTTTGTTCTTAGGTGTCCCATCTCCAGTTCACCTCTTCCCCCAGAGAAGTCAAACAATACTCCTGATTATTCTAGCACAGTACTACATAAGACCTTGGAGGTAAAAAGGAAGATATGCTAATGTGCCTATGCCTCGGATAGGCTTTCTTATTGAGCTGGTCTTTGTTTCCCTCATTCTTTTTTCTGGTGACTACGACTCACTGCTCTTCCTCAGAGAGAACACCACAAGCCAGGTCAGAGACTCAAGTGCCCAATTCCAGTAGATGCCTTATGAATAGTGAACTACTCACTCAATTGAACAAGCTGGACCTGCATCAACACAGGAATTTATTGCAATATCTGTTGTGTTACCTTACATTCTCCAATCAGGCAATTGCAATCAGGCAATTCAATTAAACACAGTAAGGAAAACAGAAAAGAGCTTGCCACAGACAAGAGTTGCCAAAGGAAAACCAATAAGTATACCATCAACTCCCTTTTCCAGTCC